AATTAATTTAGGCATACATAAATTGTAAAAGGAAAGGTCGATAAATTCATCTTCTCGTTGCCATTTCACATATCCACGATTGATCAAATCTTCGGGACTTTTTGGAACTTCTGTGAAATGTGGATCCTGAATTGAAAACATTTTTCTGTTTGAATTTGTGAATAAAAAAAATTATGATGAACAAACCACAACAAGTAATGACAGCTCTTCATCTTTGGATACAGAAACGCCAGCTATCAGCTTCGATGCAGCATCTTGATCACCACCCATCGCTATGACACCTCCGTGATCCCTAAAATAATTCACAATTTCATTTCTTTTTGTTGATATTCTTTCGCTATTTGAAATGTGATGAAGATAAGATGGAATGTTGAAGAGTTCGTCGATAACATAACATGTTTCTATCGCACCGGTCCATTCTCTTGAGTTCATAAATGAAGTTTCTTTATCACCAATCTTGCATAAAATTTCCTGAATTTGTTTTATTGATGGAACAGAAACCTCGATTTCATTCGTCATAATTATCATAGAACAAATACTTTGAAGTGTTCTGTAACCACAACCCCATCCCTAAGAACATGTTTAATGTGGTAATGAAAAATCTTTTTATGTAAATGTCACTCATTTTCTCACCACATCATTAAATCCATCGCAAATGTAATGATGATAATAATAATTATATTTTGTCAAATAAACGTCTTCATTCGACGGGTGTTTTAAATATGAATGAACATTTTTTAAAAGTGGATATTTTGGAACTGACATTTATTTAATAATTTTAATTAAAATGTTTTATAAACCTTCAGAAATGTTTTTCTGTGTTTTGGGAAAATGAATCAAAACAAACCCGGCATGTTCCATTTTCAAATTCGTTTTATTACAGCGCCATCTAGTTTCATTTTTAATTTGTTTCAATGTTTTTTGTCCGAGGATGAATTGAATGTTTTTCTTCATCTATCAAATGTTTCAAGGGGTAAATCATCGTAGTGCTTCTGCCTGCTGCCTTCAAATGAAGCATCAAAAATCACTAGTGCTTTTCAAGAAAAATGGCCTTTTTCCAAGAATTTGTTTACTTTTTCTTGGAATTTGTCTAGTGCTTCAATGCAGGAATAGTGCTTTTGCCCTCCAATTTTTTCCGATGATTTACCCCTTGAAATGTTTGAACAAGAAATCGACAAACAGAAAGAAATTTTCAGTCGAGTAAGAAAAATTGTCGAAATCGGATTGTTTTAAACCGTGCGGTCTCTGTT